CCGCGCCTCGAACCTCTCGACCTCCCCCGACAGCCCAGCGGGCAATCCGCTTCCTTGGACAGCCCAGGGGGGGCCGTCGGCAGCGACCCCGCCATCTGCCGCGGCTTCGCCCTCCTCTTCCTGTTAGGCCGCCGCCGCGGGTGGCGCGGGGCCCTCGTCTGTCTCGCCCCCCGGCACCGGCCCGCCGGCGGTCTCCTGGGCCTCGAGGCCCTCGAACTCCTCGCGGCGCATGGCCTGGGGGATCTCGCCCAGGGACCACGCCAGTTCCCCGTCTTCAGCCAAGCGTTCCTCCTCGGGGCTCAGCGCCCCCAGGCGTTCCGGAGCGACCAGAGACGGCTCGCCGCCGCACTGCGCCCAAATCCGGTCATTTTGTCCGCCCGCAAGCCGTCGCTGGGCAGCGCCTTCTCCGGCCCGCCCACCCGACGGCCCCGCTCCGCCCGAAAAGCTCACGAGAAAAGGGCGCCGTCGCCGTCCGTCCACCGGGTCGGGGCACCGCGGTCCTGCACGGCCACCGCCCGCCCCGCGAGCTCCTGGCCCTTTGTCTCGATCAGCGATCGCTGGCAGCGCTCGCGGATCCCCAGACGCCCCGCCAGCGGATCTTCTTCTTCCGCCACGCGGGGGCGGCGTCACCGCCATGCCGTCGCGCCAGCATTCCCCCGTCAGCCTCAATTGTTTTGCGCCCTTCCCTTTTTTTGTAGCGCCCGCCTGTCCGAGTCGATCTCCCTAGCCGCGGCCTCTTCCGGGAGCTTCGCCAGCGCCGCGTTGGCCAAAGTCGGCGGGGTGGTCCGAGAATCGCCCTCCTCGACCTCCGCCCCCTGCCCCGCGTCTCTCCTCTCCCGAAGCGCAAGCCTCAGTTGACCAAGGGTCTCCGATTCCGCTCGATCCCGTCGCCAGCCCAAATCTTGGATGGCTAGCGTCACCAGCTCCGCCTCGTGCATCTGTCGGAAAGTCTCGACCTCGTCTCCAGGTAGCCCACCAGCGGGTTCTGGCACTGGGCCGCCCAGGCCAGACGCACCACCTGCAGGGCCAGACGGCCCCCCGCCGCTCCGCCGCGGCACGGCGCGACCGCCCGGGGCCACGGCAGCGCCCGCGCGAGCCCGCGCGCGCCGCCGAGCACGGCGCCCGCTCGCCCTTGCGAGTGCCCTTGTGGATGCTTTGAGCCGAGAGGGGCTGCGGTCGCCAGCGCCATCGCGGCCTCGTCTCGCTCGTCGTTCGCCTGGCCGGCCGCCCACGCAAGGAGCGCAGCACGCGCCCTCGCGCGATGATCCGCGACCGTAGAGCGCGACCTCGGCACCTGCCCAGCATCGGCCGACTGCGTCGCCGACCCACGCACTCGGACCCGACGTCCCGCAGTCGAGGGTAGACATCGCCGCGCGCCCCGAGCTCGGCTCCTTGAGCGGCAACCTGGCCCAGCTGATCGCTCCGAGGGTGCTCTCGCCCTCCTCTACGTGGATGCGCGCTGCCAGCCCCGTCTGGGCACCTCCCGAGATCAGCGGGGGCGCGTCCTCTTCCGCAAGGCCGATGCGGATCGCAGCTCCCTTTCCCGCCCGCTCTGCGGGCACCGGCGCAGCTGTCCGCCAGAACCTGTAGGGCTCGCGGCCTTGTCGGTCTCGAGCTCGCATCCCCAGGTCTTCCGCGCGCGCGCCGACAGCGGCCGGCACCACGCAAGCCCTGCCACGGACTCCGCACAAGCGGTATTCACCACGATCAACCACAGCTTGTCGCCAGTCTCAGCGATCAGCACGCTCCGAGCGCCCGCGACCGCGGGGGCCTCCTCTGGCCCCTGCTCCACTGCGTCGGCGGGATTGGCCACCGCGCTCACCGAAGTCGCCCCTCCTTCCTTACCCGGGGCCCCCGGGCACTATGGATCGCCCTTCCATTAGGCCTGACTGCCACAGCGCTTGCACGGGAGCGCGAGCTTGAGCCTTTGATCCTCTCTGCGTTGACACTGCCCCCAGTCTTCCCGCCGCCGCAGTAGAAGTCGCGGGCCTTCTCGGCCTCCGCGCGGGCCTTCTTCGCCTGAGTCATCTTGACCGAATGATCCGCTGGAAAGGCCGCCAACCCTTCGGGCAGTCGCTCGTGCTCGGCCGCCTCGGCCACGGCTCCTGGGTCGGCTTCGGAGTCCTGCTCGTCCTCGAAAACCCCGTCTTCGGGCCGGTCGTCTTCTTCCTCGGCGGCCTCTGCCAAGCCGCCCGCCCGGCCCCCGTCCGCGGCGCGCGCGGGGCGGCGTCCTCCTCGCTGGGGGCCCCGTCCCGGCCTCCAGCGGCCCAGCGGCCCCTGGCGAGGTACTCTCGGCGCGCGCCACCACCGACGCCCGCAGGTGGCCCCGTCGGTCTCCTAAGCATCACGACCTGGACGACGCATGCCTTGGCTGAGCCCCTCAGCTTCTCGTGGACCAGCTCGTTGTCAGCACCTCGATGATACGACTCTCTTCGTCGCCTCCTACGCGTATTTTCTTCATGAAGCAGTGCACCTCCAGGTGCTTGTTGAGGGGGCTCGTCCATCGCCTCCTCTAAATCACGCACCTTCGCCTCGTAACGGGTTTCAGAATCCAGAACATCCTCGCCCACGTTGCGGACGAGCTTCTCCACGCACTCTTCTTCTACGAGAGTACTGACCGTCAACGTATCCTGCTGATTGAACTTGCTGTGCGGATAGTGCAAGAGCACCTGGACACCATCTGGCGTATCGAGATCCTTGGAGTCGAGATGTCCCGTCTCGATCTTAACATCACCCTTATGTCTGGAGAGCAGCCGCCCGCCTCGCCTCTCAGGCGGTATCGCAGTTGTCAACCCGAATATATTCACGCGGCGTTCGTATGTGCGTAGTGGCACCGACTTCCTATCCCATTCAGGGACGAGCTTCTCGTCACCCCAACCTCGGTCTCGTCCTTCACCGTCTCCGACGGTGCGACAGGCGTCCCAGCCGTCCCGACTCCAGGTGTGTCCGACCAATCGCTGGCTAACCAATCCCAGCTCTGATCAGACTCGGCCGTCGCTGCCCGCCCGTGCCAGGAGGTTGCCACGCTAGGTTCCAGCCGTCGTGGGGCTCAGCGCCCCTGCTCCTGAACTGCCACACTCGGGCCAATGTTGTCTGTGAGTGGCCCATCCACTCCACGATCCCCATCTGCCGTTGCGGCTCCACGCGCCCACTTTAAGGGCCTCCCGCGCCGCGGAAGGGTCCTCTGGCGAGCTCTGCGACCCTCTAGCGCCGCGCTCGCGCCACGATCCCTCGGCAGCCGATCGGAAACCTTCGTCCTCAGCAGGGACACCGTCCTAGGGATTGCCTTCCGATCCAGCGCGCTGCGCCATCGGCCTGGCTGCCGCCGCCCAGGTACCACTCATCCCAATGTGGGCGGCTTCACCGAAACTTCTTCTGTCGCGACCTCCGCGACAGCACGCCGTGCCGTGGATCGATCCCGCTCGACTATGGCTCCGCTGCCAATGTCGATGTGATGATCTGTTTCACCACACGCGGCTCGCGCCCCCGCTGGGGGCAGGTAAAAAGGCCTAGCCATCCCTGGGACCTCTCGTCGAGAGGGCTTGTGCCGAAAAGTGCGGCGGGAAAAAGAGGAGGGGCAGGTGGCAGTGAAGAACATCAACAACCATCATCACCACCACCGCCACCACCACCATCATCATCATCATCATCATCATCATCATCATCATCATCATCAGCATCATCATCAGCAGCAGCAGCATCACCATCATCATCATCATCATCATCAGCAGCAGCAGCAGCAGCAACAGCAACGGCTGCATCATCATAATCAGCTGACTCATCATATGTATCACCATCATCATCATCAACAGCAGCATCATCATCATCATCGTCATCATCAGCACCACCACCATCATCATCATCATACTCATCGTAGTCGTCATCATAATCATGACCAGTATCATCACCATGACCATCACCATCATCTTCATCATCATTACACCATCATCGTTCCCATGCGCACCATCATCATCATCATCAGCAACGTCAGCATCATTATCATCGTCATCGTCATCATCACCAGCATCAGCATCAGCATCATCATCATCAGCATCATCATCATCATCGTCAACATCAGCATCACCAGTATATGACGCTCATCCTCACCACCATCCTCAGCACCATAACCCTTCACCTCACCATCAGATCACCATCATCGCCATCACCACCATCATCATAACAATCATCATTCTCTGAATCGTCGTCACCATCATCATCATCATCATAATCATCGTCAGTACCATCATCATCAACTACATCATCCCATCCTGATAGTCCTCATCCTCGTCATCACCATCATCTACATCAGCATCATCATCGTCGTCCTCGTCATCAACAGCATCATCAGCAACAGACACAATCACCGTCACCATCCCGGCCATGATCATCACCATCATCATCATGTTGCCCCGACGGCAGGGATACGGAACACCTGTACCGCAAGGACAGGGGGCCTGTGTCGCAACCGCCGCCAGCATCACCACCATCGTCATAACCTTCGTCATCATCATCGTCATTACCATCATCATCGCCATTTTCATTTCCATCATCACCATCGTCATCAGCAGCATAATCACCACCATCACCATCATCGTTATCATCATCATCAGCAGCAGCATCATCATCACCACCACCATCAACAGCAGCAGCATCCTCATCATCCTCATCGTCATCATCATGATCATCATCATCAGCATCATCCACATCATGATCATCGTCATCATAATCAGCAACATCATCATCTTCATCATCCACATCAGCATCTTCTTCATCATCAGTTGCATCATCATCATCATCATCATCAGCATCAGCATCAGCATCAGCATCAGCATCATCATCATCATCATCATCATCATCATCAGCATCAGCATCATCATCATCATCAGCATCACCATCATCATCATTATCATCATCATCATATGTATCATCCCCTTCCTCCCGAACAACTATAAACCATAAACCTCTCCTCTTCGCGGGTGGTCGCAGCCCCGGCGGCGGGCCACATGCGCGCCAGCTCCAGGCCGCGCACGAGGTGCTTGGACGGGAGCCTGGTCGTCTCCCCGGCGCTATCCTCGAGGGGGCCGCGTCCTGCGAGGGGAAGAGCCCTGAGATCCCGGCGACAAGTTTTCCGCAACGGATGTGTTTGACTTGTTTCGGGCTCCAGGACCATGCCAGATAGATCCGGCTCGAAAAAACGCAGAAAGACTGGGCCCAGGGCTCCGCGAATGATGGGCTCGCGATGTTGCAATGAATCGCAACGCCGAATCTCAGGGGGGCAAAGGGACCGAGGAGGAGGAGGAGGAGCTGGAAGAGCACAAAAGGAAGGCGCCAGTACACTTCAAGAGTCTGTCGGCAGGAGCGGCGGCGCGCGGCGACGCGCGGATGAGGAGGAGGAGGAGGAGGAGGAAGAGGAGGAGGAGGAGGAGAAGGAGCAGCAGGAGGAGGAAGAGGAACAGAAGGAGGAGAAGGAGGAGGAAGAGGAGGAGAAGGAGGAGGGGGGAGGAGGAGGAGGAGGAGGAGGAGGAGGAGGAGGAGGAGGAGGAGGAGGAAGGGCACCGCTGGGGAGACAACGTCTTCATCGCCTACACCGCGCCGACTATCATGAGGCCCCAGCGCGGCCTCCAGAGACCTGAACCCACAGAGCCAGGGAGAGACCCGGAAGAAGGAAAAAGGGGCGAAGAGGGGGAACGAACACGACGAAACGTACAAAAAGACTACCCACAGAGAGCACGGACGAGCCTCGATCTCCTGGAGGAGCATCGGAGGCGGGCCAGCAGCAACTCACTGGACCTTTGGGGAGTGTCAGGGTTACACCTGAACACGCAAAATACATAATGTACAGCATCGATAGCAACAGCATGGGAAAGGAGGGCGGCCGAAGGTGGAGGCACGTGGGTACCCTCACCAGGGAGGACAAAGACCAAGTCGAACAAATGAAAGCAAAAAACCTGATATGCAACCGTGCACCAGCTCCGGGGCAGATAAGGAAGATGATGTCTCACTTCGTCAGTCAATACAGGACATATCATATAATGTCCCATGCAGTCCGAGTCTCGGGCGCCACATCCAAACACACAGGGTCTAAGTTTTGGTCGGTAGCGACGGGTTGTATTCCACGCGTTGAATATGGATTCGAGAACACTGACGATGATGAACGGGGGGACCCTACGGGATTCCATAATACTGATACGGACGATGGCGAGGTCGGTAGCACCAGGAGGGAGGGGACCGAGCAATTTAAGTAGACGTGGAGCGATCACCTTACTCACCGTACAGTGATCATTCGCTTCACGGGTCTTGAATATCTTATACATGGCTGACTGGACTTTAGGCTACGGGAGCTCATCAATATTCTTGATAGTGCAGAACCATTCATACATACAATATATGTTGTAGAAGATAAAGTCATTCAGGTAGCCATTCCTCTTCCACGTCATGTTGGTAACTTCACTATATATCGTGTTCTGGAAGCTTTCTCTCAATCTCATGAACGCTTGGGGTCAGATGACCGCGCGCAGCATCGAGCCCCCCACGATGATCTTCAAACACTTGCACTCCACGGATCAGCCAAGTTCCTGGAGTCTACAAAGAGCCTGAGGCGGGAACGACTGTCGCGGGGCTCGAGTGAGCAGTTGGTGGCTTTCCTTTCCATTCCTCAGGGGCAAGCTTGGCGATGATATGACACTGGGCGGCGTGGGAGAAGAGGGGAACACAGCAACGATTGCATGCAATAGCTGACCCGGTCAAACCCAGACCCAGAGCTTTGACTTCATTTGCCCGAGCGCGGACCTTGCTGCTGGCCATCCTCCAAGCATGTGCACGTACACCTCGCCCGACAGGAATGCCTAATGCCACGAGCATGTCCGCGACTTCGAATTCTGAAGCGTCGGCTCCAATTTCAAGAAACTTCCTCACCACCTCCTCCTTCCCAGGATTTCTGAATAACAGCAGTTTGCATTTCTTATACTTCAAAACCAAACCAGAGCAGGGACCATAAAGCTTGAAAGGCGCCAGGATTCCAGGAAGTGCACGAAATATGCGATGCACCATGACCGATAAATCATATGCGAACGCCGACGGAACAACAGGACATCGAAGTTGAATCCCGACCAGAGCTCTGAGCAGCGGGTCGAACGCGAACGCGAACAATATCCCACTCAAAGGGCAACCTTGGCGCGCTCCACGACGCGCCTCAAACCCCTCGAAAAGATGGGCACCAATCTAAGTGACACAGTGCGCGCGCAGGTAGGGCGCGCGCAATGCGCCTCGCACGTCTGCGGGCAGCTCAAAGGCATCCAACACTTTAAAGAGCCAGCACGTATAGATCGACGGAAATGCTGCCTTCAAGTCGAAGGCTGCACCTCCAACCGTCGCTTCCTGGCAGATGACCCCCCACAAGGCCATCGAACCTTCGAACTCGAGCACGTTATCTAGTATGTTGCACCCGCTAATAAAGCCCCTCTGGATGGGGTGAAGATTTTCACGAACGACATGCTTGAGGGGATAAGCTAAACTTGAAGCCGTGAGTTTTGTTGCCCGTATTTCTGAGCGCCAGGAGCCCCGTTTCTTCAAACCTTGTCTCACGCCATCCCAGACCCAGGAACGTCGCATTTAGGGAAGAACCAATCTACAGTGATTGAGTGCAGCATGTAGCACACCACCACTCATCATATACATAATGTGCCTGAAGAAATCCACCATCACCTCATTCCCACATTGCCACGCCGAGTGCGGCAGCCCATCGGGCCCAGGTGCGGCGTCTTACTTGGACATCAGGATGTGTCTAAATTGACCAGGGCTAACGACCCAGGGGTATCTCTGGCGGCCTCTGGTGGTGCATTGGTAATCATCCAACTCAAGCTCCGGGGCCAGATCTAAAAACTGCCCAGCACGCGCGTTGGCGGACTCCCCGGACTGAAACACCGAGGACCAGTAGCCAGACAGCGCGCGTGCACAGTCCTCAGGCACTCTTTGTGCCACGCCGTGTTGATCCAGCACAGCGAAGAGGGCCACCTGCCTCTTGGAAGCACGCTAAGCCTTGTTAAGTCGCCTCTCTCTCTCTCTCTCTCTCTCTCTCTCTCTCTCTCTCTCTCTCTCTCTCTCTCTCTCTCTCTCTCTCTCTCGATGTGTTTCTCTCTAATCATGGCTGGCATGTCGCTCTCGAAGATACTGCTTTCATGTTCGTCCAGGACCTCTCATGCGATGACTTAGCAGAGCATGAAATCCAGGTAGATCGATCCACCTGTCGACCTGCACGCAGTAGAACTGCGCCCACTCCTGATCGGCCTGGACAGCCTTCCTGCAGACTGCTGAAATCCCATCCCTGGAGGCCCTACGTATTTCTGTACAACGCGAGACTTTCTCCGAGGGGGTACAAGCACCTTGGGGGAATACGCGGATCCTCGCGCCGTGGGCAGCATGCCGAAACCAATACATCAGCCCCAAGAGCTTCTCAGGGGGGGGGGAGCTCGTGGAGCTCGTCTGGGCCCATGACCCCGAGCAATCCATCCAGGGATATTCTGCACTTCTGGTCTCTCCGCCATCGGGAAGAGGGCAAGGGGGATCGGGGCGTGGTCGGAGGGCTTCCTGAGGTTCTGAATAGGCCAGACAATGCTAGATTGAGGATGCAGATCTAAATGGTCGGCCGCTTCCATACTGCAATAGATCCTGTCAATTCTGGATAAGGTCAGCAGTGTTTCCGTATTACGTCTATGTGAACCTAGCTTGGGAGAGCTCGACAAGCTTGGGGAATCGTCGATGAAAAGCAATGCTCAACCTGCTGCCCCCCGCGCGCTCGACGCCGCCGCGGGTCTGCAAGCGGGCCTCGCCAGACTCGACAACATTGAGAGCGCCCATCAGGGCGACAGTGCAAGAGGAGAGCGGGGGCATGTAGCGTTTGATCATGTCCATCTGAAGTCTCACCCGAGCTTCTGGGATACCTGGAACGATATGTACATTGCAGACCTGAAGACGTTGGGAGTCGGAGAGGAGCCAGATAGACTGAATACGGCCAGGCACGAGCACACGATGCACTGCATGTGAGAACTGCTGCTCCAATTTCTTGGACATGCTAGCGACGACTCCACCGGCCCCCACGGCAGAGCACAATGACCCAAAGTGCGAGTGAGATGCGACCTCCTGCCGAAGTGTTTCAAGATCACCTGGGCACCCGTGGGTCTCCTGAAACGTGCGTGCATCGCACTTAGCGAGAAGCCCTTTGGCACAAGCATATGTGCACGCCTGCGTCTTACGACCCCCTCCTAAAGCTCCAGAAAGGCGCATGGCAGTTCCAAGACGCAAATCCCACTCGAGTGCGAAGAAAAAAAAGCAGGGCGTGCTCACCCACCGAGGTAGACCCAGAGGAGGAGGAGGATGAACTGCTTGAGCTGCCGCCAGAGGGCCCCCCCACCCGACGCAGCGCTCGAGCTCCCAGAAGATGCCGGGGGTGAGGAGGCAGGGGAAGCGAATGATGAGCCAGAACTTGAGCGATGCCTCCTGCCCCGCGAAACTGATGATATTTTCTTCGGGCGCCCCCGTGCGTTAGTATATCAGAAACCTTCTCCATATTCAAGTGTGCGTGCTTCTGCCCCTGCCTGACTGATCACATTCTAAATCTGCTATGAGCTGATGTTCCACTGGCTGAGCTCCGTCTGCTTGGGCTCGAATGTACATGCCTCATGCCCATCTTTGAATCCAGCAGGCTTCGCAAATACGAATCCCCACAGATCGCCATCGCTGCTGACCTGCAGTAGACCTTTGCATTCATTCACTACAAGACTGCACGTTGGGTCCCATCGCGGCGGGGAAGCCAATAAATCCTTGACCCCCGAGAAAATTGCAGAGAATGCGCGGCGCCTGTTTCTCGCATCAATTGGTAGATCGCCTCGAGCACGAAACGGATGCTTAGCGTGGTCGCGCGGGTCTGTCCACATGCGACCCACTCTGTTGAACTGCTCCTGGAAGTCGGCTGCCGCGGTCTCACTGTTGAACGTGACCTTTTAATTGACGCCAACCCTATGGAACGTGCCCGTGGCCTGATCGGTGATGAACGGTGGGTGCACCTCTTTCATGTTTTCGAAGTGCTTCTCCCGGAACTTGGCGAGGAGTGGTCTAGAAAAGCCGCCGATGAACTTGGTCTTCTTATCCGCGGATTCTTCACCTGTGCCGACGCGCCTGAAATTCCTACCA